TGTCTTCCAAATCTCTTGGCATAACCGAGTGAGTGCCTCCAATGGGACATCCATTTGTTGAAATATCTCAATGGGTATTCCATCAATTCCTGGAGCCTTGTTCTTCTTCAATTATTTCATCACAGCTTTGACTTTCTCCTTCATTACCATTGGTTCTAGATCATATGCCACTTCCTGAAGTCCAAGTGTAGATCCGCCGTTTGTATTGTTGAAAAAAGGTGTTGCAATGAACAAGTTGGTGGTCTTGCAAAATTGTGCCATGTGAGTTCCAGCATTATTTCTGTCGCCAAGGCCAAATTTTCCAACCACCGGTGATTCTTCTTTGTTTCCAACGTTTGCATTCCAGTCACCAGTGATAATTAACATCCTGATTGCATGTTCGGTCAATTTCAGACTGCAGAAGTTGATAAAAATCTTCAATATCCTCATCTTTGGCTTTGGTGGTTGGAGTACAAATTTGAATAATAGTCCTATTAATGGGTCTTCCTTGTGGGCATATGGATATTATCCTATCACTGACAGCATTGTACTTCAGGACAGATCTTGAAACATCCTTTGTGATGATAAATGCCACCTCATTCCTCTTCAAACTATCATTCCCTGCATAGTAGATCACATGGTTGTCTGATTCAAAATGGCCCAAACCAGTCCATTTCAGCTCACTAATGCTGAGGATATCAGTCTTTATGTGTTCCATTTCATTTTTGACAACTTCCAATTTTCCTAGATTCATACTTCGTACATTCCATGTTCTAATGATTAATGGATGTCTGAAGCTGTTTCTCTTCAATTTCAGTGGTGCCACATCAGCAAATGGAGGTCTTGAAAGCTTTACCTTATCCATAGGACTAAGGCTGGGTTTTTTCAGATGATGCAGCTCTTTCCCAGTCCTATTTTGGCAGTCTTCCAACCTAACCTGTCTATTCATAAAGTTGCATGGTAATGTATCAAAGAGTGTTTCTTTGCCATTCATAAGGTTTTCCCTGGCCTCTCCATTCTTCCTAGTCTGTCTAAGTCTGTAAGCTGGGCTGATACATGTGCACCATGTGCATCCCGCTGGGTTTGAAACACCAGTGACTCAGCCTCAAAACTCACGTCAATAAGTCACCACAATAGGAAAAACTGACAGACAAGTTTGTCTCCCTGTTGGAAACCTCTCATACCACCCTTACCTGGGTCCCTGCAGCTGACTCCTCCTCTGTCAGGATTCCTGGGCCTTTTAATCCCCTTTCTCCTGCTCTCCCACCCTACTGCTTTGGGCATGCCTGCGTTCTCTCTCCTCACCTGGATCCCTGTGGCTGACTGCTCCTCTGTCCAGGTTCCTGGCTTTTTATCCCCTTTATCCTGCTCTTCCACCCTGCTGCTTTGGATGTGCCTGAGTTCCCTCTCCTCACCTGGATCCCTGCTTCTGACACAGTGGTAGCTACTATCATTAAGTGCAGAGGAGAGGTTCAATCAAGCTCCACATAACTCCATATCCCATGGTCTTTCTTAATTGACAACATGTTTTAATGTCTAGTAAGGAGCTCTGGTGGCATAGTGCCTCAGGAATTTGACTGCTAACCAGAAGGCTGGTGGTTCAAACTCACCAGCCACTCCTTGCAAGGAAGGTTGTGCAATCTATTTCCATAGTGATACCTCCTCAGAAACCCAAGGAGGGGTCGCTATGAGTCAGATCCAACTCAATGGCAGTGAGTTTGATTTTGGTTTTTGAAGAAATAATATGATATATTAGCATGATGTGCAGGGATATAAAACCTCTAGTGAATAGTTTATATCCCTGCCAAACACCATTAGACAAACCTAGCATATGTAAAACATGTTGCTTTGTTATATTGATATTTCTTATTTATAGCCCAAGTAATACCATTAATTTTAAAACCTCAGGACTGAAGCAAAGTCAAGTTGTTGTTGTTGTTATGTG